AATTTAATAAGCACTGCTAAAAGAATGAAGAGCGATTACCGATAGTACGCTTTGTATATACAAAATAAATATGTAAAATAAATAACGTTTGCAATTTAATAATTCAGAACGCGAATTCCGTGCATTATTCATATAATATTATTAATTTCCGTTTCATGATTAATTTATCAAATTAACAGAAACGGTACGTAATTATTAAAACCTGAAGTATGATATTGTATATTGTGGTGAACATTTATGTATATCAGAATATTGAACACACACTCATACATAGGTGAAAATGATGCGTACTGTGTTGCGAGATAAGTTTAACGTGATCATAAAATCTTGATGAATTATTTTCTGGAATCGTGTTATATTCAAGTCCACTTGTGGACAACGAAATTACAACGAGAACTATGTCAATTTACGTAGAACGACGACATTGGCGAGACGATGTTGTTTCGGCAGGTATGGTTTCCGTAATAACAATTCCACGAAATAGAATAAAGACACGATGGAAATAAAAAATAAGATTAAACGTCGTATTTCATAAAATGTTGTAGCTTTTAAAAATTAAAATTTTGGAGCTTAAAAAATCAAGAGAGAAGATCCGATATATTTTTGAGGAAAGATAACGTTTAAAAAATAAAGTACTTTTGAAACACTTTTGGAATAATTGAATAATAATGTCCGAAAATCTCTAGAAATATTTCAGCATCTTTAGTTTCAACGTTTATTTTACGTTTTAAAAATCTATGGTATTCCGTAGCATATTATATTTAAAAGAAAATTTTAACATCTTTTAGATGGCAATCTTTAAGGCAAAAGCTCGACATATTCTATACATTATTTTCTAGAAATTAATATTAAATTTTAATATTAAAAAAAATTAATATTAAATTTTAATATTAAAAAAACTTTTCTTGGGGACTTTTCCTCCGGAATGAAAGTTATTGGTGTTCTCGTCAGCGCAATCATATTAATGGAAACTCGACTTAGAAAATATGAAATTCGACGTAGGACGTATACTATTAGTACACGTATAAAACGAACAAATTATGTTATAGAAAGTATAAATCAATATTAATGGAAAAACGATGAACAGATTTGAATGATAAGAAAATTATTAATAATTTTAATTATGACTATCTCCTCGATTTATAAATTTGTCCAGATCATTAAAAATGTGTCACTGCGGCACCTTTCTGGATGATCGCTTCGGATAATAGGTTCTACTACAGTAGTGAATCAATTGTTTGTCATCGCGCTGAATCGTGACAACGAGTGAAAACAGGTGATTACAACGGTACGGTGGCCGATATTATTATATCGAAAGTATGACATACGCGCTGTCTCGCGTTTCCGCGATGGCAGAGGGCTTAAATAATGGTGCACCGGGAGCACGCGTTGCACAAAATCGCACGGACGGGGATGTAATTCAAACATTTGCTTTTGTTTTCGTTGTGTGAAACGGCAACATTGGAACGAGACTCGTCTCGTGCATTAGAAACGATCGTAATTACTGTTCGATGTACCGCTCGAGCAGCACTTCATCAATGCCAGTGTAACTTCGCTCAATCGTAAAATGTATTCGCGAAGTCGGTCGCATTTATAATCTCGTTGTGCCGATCCTAATTTCATTACCGTACTCGCGATTCTATTTGCACCGCGAATAAATTGGAAGTCGCGATACGTCTCCCGTGAGAAACGGCGATTGGAAAATTCTCCCTCCACCCTGTCGGCGGCTACAGCTACGCTCGGGTGTATTACGCCTTTGCGGCGAAATTCCGAATTATACGTTCTTCTGCTTGACAGTACAACCCACCGCCACACCGGTCATAGAACACTACGAGTTGAACGACCAAGAAAAGGCGGGGATATCCTTTCTATTTTCAATCTGTCGCAAAATGCGCCGAAAGCTTTATATAAGAAAAAGAATCTACTATTATTTTTTCAAGTATTTCCCAAAAACACAAAGATACGAATACTAAAACATAATGCAATTAAGCGATTAAAATATATCAAAAGATGTCAAGATAAATTAAAATGAGTTATATATAAAGTCATAAATTTCGTCCATATATCTTTCAAAGAAATATGAAAATATAAAACTGCGAGAGATGAAAAATTTTTTTAATTCACGTGAAGGGAAAAAATAAAAATTTAAAAGGCTAGTGGTGTAATCCGTATTTATAAGATATGTAATAATAATTTTTATGTTATGTTTACAATTTCCTGTCATATAACTGTTAGTTGGAGTAACTTGGCTCTCGTATGCTTGAGCGGAGCTGCACTCTTCGCGCTCCAAACGTGCCACAAGCAGCTTGATAACGACCGGGCTCTTTAATGCACGCCTGGCGCATCAGCCGCAGCGACCGGTAATCATTTCTCCGTAGCAAGACAAAAAATTCAACTAGGTCATTCCATTCGAATTGACGCGGACGAAATTGAATATGATCAACACAAACAGCATCGTTCGTTCTCTCTTTCTCTCCTCTCCCCCCCCCTCTCTCTCTCTCTCTTTCGCTCTCTTTCTCTGTCTGTAGATGTGCTTCTATCGTTATCCTGTCGGCCGTCACGCATAATACTCGACGACCACCTCGAAATTCAATTTACATATTCATGACAATTCATTTGTACCCCACGGCACGGTGTGGTCCACCCCTTGGAGGTCTTATTAATTCCCTGGCATGTGCCTCGCTAAATTCTCGAGTCGAGAAATAAAGAAAAAGAAGCAGGAGGATGCGAAATCTATTTTCGATACGGATTCGTATAAAGTTCTACAGAGTTCCCGGAAAATAGCATCAACTAGTTGTGTAATTACAAAATTCTTGAAGGAATTTGCAATCGATCTTTCTGCAGACGATTTAAGATCTTCTCTCTTTGCTCATCGACCTCCGAGTTTTAGTTTTCGGCATATACCGGTGATTAAACATCAAGAGATAATTTCTATTGAAATGAAATCCACTCCATACTAATGGAAAGATAACATTTCTAATTGCTCTCTAACTTTGAAGTTTAATTCTTAACTTTTTCAGGATGAGCACCAAATATAAATTGTGAAATAAGATCTTATCTGCGGTACATCGTACACATATATGTGTTTCATGCCAGTTGCATCTGTATAAGTGAGCGTGCACGTACACATATGAAAGCATACAATGCAAGCGTATACCTATATAGCCGATTGTAAGATTCTCAGCGTGGATTTCGCTTATCGGCCGCTATTTCCTCGGCTCCGTAGAAATATAGAGGATATTCTCACCACATGACGTATATTTGATAGCCATGAGAAATCAATAAAAAATATATACATTCGGACGTGTCTCTCTCTCTCAATATCATAATCCTAATACCTACGTGAGAAGCTCTTTCGGTCGCAAAAATTATCTATTTTATCAGCGTTTTTTTTCACAGCCTCTTTCAAAATAGTCGTTTCTTCACGAAATATTAATTTTTTTCTTAATTAAATAATTTCTCCAGCTGCTCCTTTTTACATAAATACGAAATAATCTTTTAATGTCAAAAAAATTTAATTAATTTATAATTCTTTGTAAGATTATACTAAACGAAAAGTTAAAGCTAAAAATATCTGAAAAAAGGATTAAGAGGAAAGAAATTCAAGAGAAAGTTTTATCGCACTAAGAGTCACGAGTCACAATAAGAATGAGAATGAAAGAGTGAGATATCTGGCAAAAGCAATGTTTGTTGAAACCATTGCCGTCAATTCGCAAGACCGCTGAAATATTATTGCCGTTACCCATGCAAATCTATCTTCCGAAAATCGTTATTTCACCCAGACATATGGTGGCAACCGCGCTGGGGCGAATTTCACCGGTGTTTAGAGACGCGTAAACCGCCGTGGCCGCTGTCCTGCGGCACGATTGGCCGCGCGCCAAAACATCTTACAATCAATAAAATTTTGCATTATGTAAAAAGGCCAGAGACTGACAATGTTGTTTGCGAGGCCGCGGGCGGTAAGCCACAACGACGTTATTAAGGCAGGCCCCGGCTGGTTTAGCGTGGCCGCCGGTATTCGGTTGCAAACTGCATTCACGATTCCGCGGCGTGCCAATAAACGGCCATCTCGGACCGATTATATACACATATCCTGTTGGTTTCTGTCGTGCCCAGAGGTAGCGGTAGCGCCGTCTCAGCATTCAGTGCATCGACACGCGGCAGCTCGAGGGTAATACTCCAACACGCCGAGAGAGATGCGCTTGTCACACACGAAGACAATTAACTTCACGTTGCTACAAACCCACCCGCAGTGGCGTGAAACCGCCGGTTTCGCCGAATCCGTTGCATCTGTCGCAAATATCAAATACGTATGTGCGCGTATTATACATATATGTATATATTATTCGTCTCTCTCTCCGCGTGACAACGTTACGTCGCAGGAAGTTTTGGGTACTCGGCGAAATTGGATTTCGCAAGAAACACTTCGTTGCAATTATGTGAAATCAGGCGTACGAAAATCAAGCGGGAATTGCATTGTTCGCTGTGCAATCGTTCGTTTTCGAACGAAAGTATTATTCAAATGAAAACATATTTTTTAAACGAGAGGGAAGAATGTTGGAGAGAACCGCGTTTATATACGTTTATCGGCTGTATTCGACTGGCAATGCGATTAATAGCAAACGATTCCTCTTCTAATTAGTTTTTCTTCGATTCGCTAATGATGTACCAGCCACCAATCAGAGAAATAAAAAGTAATAGCTCTGTTAAAAGCCCTCATTCGTCTGGAATCGCAATCGTTCGTAGTTGTATTTCAACGTGGCATTTCAAACGCGAATCAATAACGACCTCATTAATGTAATGTTTAATGGACACCACCTGCAAAACTCGTTCGTAAAAACGTACGCAGATTCATCTGAATGCGAGCGCATTGAAAGTTTATATCGTCATTACGCAATGATAATACTTTCCGCAAAGTTTTTTCTTCGTCGATGTTACATATCGAGATTAATTTGCGAGACGAATTTTTACGATCCTCCTCTCGTCTGTCTGATTCGCAGGTCACACGGATTATCTGAGAGGATGCATGGCCGACATAATTTACAACGGCGCCAAAGTTATAGAGTACGCCAGGTCGAGAAAGGGCCAGTCGGAGGCAACAGCCGTAACGTGGGGCTGCTCGCCGGAATTCGACGCCACGAGGAGCACGGAAGTCAGCTTTGTCGAGGACGGCGCCTTCGTCGCCATTCCGCGCCCCATTCCGCGCTCCGGTTCGAGGTATATAGCAAAAGTACCGCTTTCCGCTGTAATGTATACACCCCCATTTATCATCGTCGCACCTACGGGACCGTAGAAAACGTAATTAAACTGTCGCTACGCAACCGTATCAACTAAATCATCGATAATGTTTATATATCGATGCAAGAAAGGAGACGCGGCGCTTTATCTCGCTGAGCTGTATTACACCGAATTCAGTGTTGTTTACTTGATTATCTTAATCCACTTAATTATCTTTGCCGTTATTTGTACGTGGCTTTGCATTTTACTCGAGGATGACAATTTGGGAAGAAACTTCAGAGATATTGTAAAATTCATGCTTGCATAAACTCAATCGAGTTCTCTGTTTTATTTTGTGAGGCACATGAGGCAACGTTTCAGTTTTAGCGGCGACTCTGTCGCGCCATCACGTAAAATAAATACATTTACGTGGTTCACGAATCCAATATCTTATGGTAATACCGCGGAAAATCCGTTTCTCTGAGGTCGACGACGGCGGGGTTGCATAACTCGCATACTCGTGCGCATACCTGTATATCTACATTCAGGCCGCATTCAAGTCATCGGTCAGGGAAGGCCTTTCATGTTGTACGCGACTCCTACCACTTTCCATCCCACTCGCGCTGCTTTTAATGATTAAAACCCATGAGAACGTTGTTACGTTTCTCGAAGAGCTCGGGAGCAACTGTTTCAATCGCGGGAGTTACGTCACTGTTAACTCCCACAACGAGACAGGCAACGATGCTTCGTCAATGGGAACACTTTGATCCCTCTTTTCAGTGCGGCACTTCGACGAGGCGGTAACAGTCGATTGGCTCGAAAGCTTATAATGATAAAGCTACTTAGTGTGCCAGCGATCATTTGTGGAATTAATACTATTCACGACGCAGAGTCACAGGTCATCTATTTACATTAATGAACAAATATTGTAGTATACAACATAGCACTCGCAGGTAGAGTGCAATTTGAATTGAATAATAAATTCTGTTTACGATAACGATAACTTTAATATGCTTTCGACGTATAGGATATAATAATTATCAAAGAAGTAATTTAGAGGTTTTTTTATATAATTCTAACATTGAGTTAGAAAAAATATATATATGTTACCGAAATAGAAAGCTGGTTGTAACTAAACCAGCAGAATGTAACTAAGAATGCGCACAAATATACGTAATATTTTTTAAAATGAATTAGAGAGTTTTCGAGACATACAAACGCGTCATTTTTATCTGAGCGAAGTGGACATGGACAAGCATATCGCGAGTCTCCCAGGAGTAGATTGTGTACATTGTGGTTTTCCGGATTCTCGGTATATCTCAGAGTATCTCAGAATAGAACCACGACCTCGAAAGCCTTTGTTTCTATAAATTAAAAGCTCAGCGGGGATGTTTACATTGAAAAATGTACGTAGGATATATTTCCAATAGTGGCTCTACACAGGATATTTCGTTTCACTATTTATACTTTCATCTTACTTCTTTTTTATTTTTATTTTAGTTATTAATCTTTCGCAAGAAGAACGCAAACACTCTCCGTTTACGCGACTGTAGTACGAAAAATGCTAAGCACGTCCGAGGAGACTAAAAACTTCGGTGAGCCAGATGTGTCCTCGCTGTGCTATCCTCGTGAAAATTATTCGGGAGTATACTAAGAGGCGGAAAAACGCTTCATTTTCACACGAATGCGGTGTACACTGAGTAAGCGCGGTTAATACCGGCCTTCACATGCAGATAGTTAAGTCCTGGTTGCACGCATGGTTTCCCGTGTCTTGTACGTTCGTAGAGAAGCCCCCGGCCGCGTAGGTACTCTGACTCTTTTGTTGTCCCGAATTAAAAGCACACTAGTTCCGAGTAGTACCTTAATTCAGCACTTATCTGAGAAAATAAATGTTGGAACCTGTTGCGTTAATGCGGCTAAAAGCGAGACAAAAGGTCAGCTCGATTTTTTTTGTTCGCATAAATGTTTGAGAGAAACCGACCTCTCTTCTCGCATCGAGAGAACCCAGGTACCCATAGTGCACACCGCTAGATCCTCGTCGATAAACGGATAAGTAGATAGTCAAGGAGAAATCGAATGGATGACTGGACAGTCGTAACTGTCTTCCTTCCGCGGCGTTCTACGTGAAGCCGATGAACCGTGAAGATTTCGTCGTGCGCTTTCTGAGTTCAATCGATCTGGAAGATTCAAGTGCCACGTGTATGCATGGCTCATATTAGACGTTCGAGTTGTCTCCACTTCAACCGAGTGCACTTTTCCTTCGCCGTTTTAATCGTTATTTAATTCATTGGTTTTCTTCCGTCGCGCACAAAACGCGCGACGGAATTGTCGTATTTAACGTGGATCGAGCTATAATTTTCGCATCTCGTGTTTTTAGTCAATTTAAATCGATGAAGCTTGAAGAAATTAAAATAGAAATGAGAGCCCCGAATGTCTTTTTGTAATTTCAACCGCTGAAATTTTTTGAACGGATTTAATTTTCACCGGTCATTAGCGTACAAAGAACAAACATATTATACTGCGCTTTCGGAAGCAAAGCATCGATTGATGAGGAATGTAGAGACACAAGCGGACCGTATTAGAATCCTTAGCGAACCTCCAGCATCACGGTAAACAACTAATTGCGTTTACAATTCGCACAGGTACACGTTTGCTTACAACCGTTGCGAACTGTATTGCGCGGTAAGACACTGACTAACATAACAGGTATTTTCACTAACTCCCGTATTTAACAGAGTTGAATAATCAGCTAATTTTCGATGAGATAATCGTGATCTGTTAGAAGTTTCATTATAAATATATAATTAATTAAACTTGGTTTGGAGCTTATGACATGCGTGTATATGTAAGTATTTTAATTTCATTTTTTAAATTTCATTTTTTTTCTCTTTGTTGTTAACAAAGGTAATAAAAGTGCAGAAAGTAGAGGGATATCGTAACAATTGTGATATCGGTAACAATATGAAATAATTACATTAAGAATGTGCGGTATAATAATATGATATTTTTTAATATAATTAGTATTTGTAGTACACACAAATACATACAAATACACGCAACAGTAATTTCAAAGCCGCAGTATACGTTGCTATCGCGTTATTGTGTATTATTGCATCTGTCTGTTATGACGATGAAAGTCTACTCCGCTTTCGTAACCACTATTGTAGCACTTCGCTGTGATGTTACTTCAAAAGCAAAGTAATGAATCCACCCGCTGAAGTAAATAATCGGCTTTCGTGTTCGCAGCAGTCGTGGCATCTTTCCGCACAAAATGCGAAAATCACTCGCCCCAAAGTTTCTTCGGGTAGAAGTCGACTGAGCGAAATTTGATTTGATTACAATTATAAATTCACGGCGAACAATCTTCTTTCTCCCCCTTGCTACCATCGTTTGCATTGCCTCGCTCGTTTAACTCGTGTTGCACGAATAACGTTTCGCTTGTTTAATCGCGTTCTGTAGTGAGGTCTGAACACCGTACTGTTTCAAGAACGATGATTAAACGAAGAGCAAAACATACAATTATCTTGTAGAAGCAATATTCTTGAAGATTTAAATTATCACATCTTTAAACTGTCGGGATTTTAATTTATAGTATTTTATATCTTAATTAATCTTACAGAATTTTGTATATATCTTATCAGTTACAGTTCAATTTGTTTTTTTTTTTTTCAAAAAAGAATCCATTGTAGTCTTTCAACAAAATGCATTATTTAATGGTGTTATGTTCAATCAATCAATTCATTATATATGTATTATATATATATATATATATATATATAACAAATTGATTGATATATATATATATATATATATATTTATATTACTTTGTTATATTAATACTGCTGTTGCAACGCTTGTGAATCATGTGGAGAATCAGCCGCGAAATTCTAATCCGATCGCTAAGATGCATAGTAATATCGAAGTTTCCGTTATTTCGCCCTCAACAGCATCGGTATCAGCAGCATTATCTAGAAAAGTATTCTCCATGGTCTCATGAAGCCGTTGTGTAACGGCCGTAACATCAGACGAGTCCGATTCGGTTGCGCAGTCCATTCTTAAGGGGCAGTAACGAAGTTTCCTGCCAATTCCATCTTACGACTTTGCAGATGGGAATTCGAGCTGAAGACCGGTGCCGACAGTGGCCTGTTGCTGTATAACACGGGGCAATCATCCTACGCCGATTACCTAGGTATTGAGCTGCTCGAGGGTAAGATTCGGCTATTGATGAATAAAGGAAACGGCCCGACCGAGTTGACGCACGGCACTCTGGTGGCTGACGGTAAATGGCACAGCATAACCGTGGATTTCAATCCGAACGGGCTCGGCATCGCCGTTGACCGTCACGAGAAAACAATGGCTCTGCCATCCGGTGGCAATCGGTTCCTCGATCTGGCAGATACATTGTACATCGGCGGCACGGAGTTGAACAAACGCGCTCGGGCCTTGGGCAAGGGCCTTAGATCCGGCGACGTGAGTTACAAGGGCTGCATACGCAACATGATCCTCGACAACAAGGACCTCGGTTTAGCGGACGTCAAGGTCAGCCAGGGCATCGTCGTGGGCTGCGTCTGGGGATATCCGTGTATCGAAGCCGATCCCTGCGTATCCGGTGCATCGTGCATGCAACTGGGTGTCAACTCATTCAGGTGTAACTGCGACCAGTCGCTGTGCATCAAGCCGAATTACGCCGAGGACTACAAGGTAGATCAATTTTAATTGAGTTTCAATGACGCTCCACCCACTTGGCGAGGGTTACGTTGCGGTTGCGAGCTAATTATGTCACCGGCAACTAGCGTATGGATTTACGGAGATGCATAGTTAACTTAGTCAAGATACTGCCTATACATAGATTACTCTTCATTGCGATGTTAGTAACATGAAAATATTTAACATTATTTGCATCTTTACTGAATTGATATCTAATAATGAAGATTGTATCATATATCATGAAGATTTTATATGTATATATATTTTATATACAGATATAAAATTTTTATTATATACATAGGTATATAATATAAAGCAATATTAGCAACATGTACATATATATATATATATATATATATATATATATAACATATAAATCTTGATAATATTGAGATAAGACTAATGATATTTACATCTATAAAATAAAGAATCGATATGGTATGTTTGCAGATCTATTCGAATACCACCCTTCCTGTAAATTTGGAAATTCTCTCTTTGAGTCCTCTAATAGTGTTCGAGGGGGAACACGTGTTGGTAACGAGCGAAAACATCGCGATGGTACTGGACATCGCCAAATACGGCGTGGAAGAAGTTGGTGTCACATTTACCTTGGTGACACCGCCAACTTACGGAACATTGGCGTTGGATCTCCTAACATCTCGAAATGATCACTCCTTCACGTTGCAAGACATTAATCGGGATAAGGTAATCTCTGGCCCAATCAGCCAATCATCAATTTGCCAAATCCTCTAATTAACGTTCAGTTTCCGTGTCAAACTGGTTGCTCGATCGTGAGTCCGCGGTCGCGACGATTGCCGCGATATTAGTGTTCACCCGTCGGTTACACGCGTGACGATAAAACTCGAAATCGTCGGAGGAGTTTGCGGGGGAGCATGTGTAAGAGGCGAAACTCGGTCAGCGTGCACCTGACGTTAATTAATATATCAGGTGACTAAACGCGGCCCGAGCCGGCCGGCCGGGCATAGGCCGTAGAAGGCACGGAGAAACGTGGAAAGTCATGTGTTCTTCCAGTTCGTCATAGGAACCACGCGCTGCTATACATAGTACGCGCCGTAAGGACTAACTTTAGAATCGTTAGCGGCGGGAACATGGGAGGGTCGGCCGACTTGTCGTGCTCTCGCTCGCTCGCTCGCTCGCCTGCTCCTCCCGCTACCCACACTCAATTTATCTAGCGACAGTGCTCTATTTATAAACCGCCCCCGCCACCGCTCATTAATGGTTTTTCGTTAAGGATCGCGTATCGGCGGTTTTTCACCAGCCGCGCCATCGTCTATCGTTTATTGCCAATTGCTTTCTAATTGTTAAAAAAAAAAAAAAAAAAGAACGGGGAGGAAGAAAAAACTCGCGTCTTCCCCTTATTGTCTCGACTCGGCTCTCATCCACGGGGACGACGCCCACTCGATATGCTAATCGACGATTTAACTCCTGTCGCTCTAATTAATTTTGAACCGCGGTCGATCTCGAGTGTTAGATCAAACGCTAGAAAGGATAACACGAGTCGGGCACTCTCTGACGTACTCTCCCATGATTAATTCTGATTCTGTAGCACGATGTAGTGTGTGTTTGCCGATTGAGATTCTCGTGAAACGAGCGGAGCTATCGCGCAAGTTGAAGTTCACACATTCCTCGTCGCACGGTTGCCCCTAACCCGATATTGCGATACATAACAGATTATTGATATTCGCGCGATTTCTTTCGTATGCAGATTTATTTTACGAGGAAGCGCGGATGTAAAAAAAAAAATGTGAACAAACCGTGTCTTTTTGTTCGCAAATTTGCGATTCATTAGTAATCGTTTAGCAATACAGGCTTTCTCAAAACCGCATGAATTATCCGATTATGTGCTGTATGTGAACGTTGCTGTATTATACGTTAGATATGGCGTACAGCAGTATCCTTATGATAATTCACTTCCCCAACAGATACAGTATATGCATGACGGTAGCGAAACCACAGAGGACAGCATGATTCTGGAATTGACGTTGGTGGCCGGGACAGGCTATGCGCTTCCAGGATACCTCCAAGGACGCCTCAGATTCCCTCTTCACGTTAATGTCACTCCTGTCAATGACCCGCCGTTACTCGAGATCCCGACCGCGAAAGTGCTGCGTCTGGCTCAAGTAAGACACGAAAATAAACTGTAAGCTCCTTCCTTCCTTCTTTTTTTTTTTTTATCTAGCCTCGACCAGCGACGCGTTTATATCACGACACATTTTTCGTCAAGTCACCGGCGCGGCGCGGCGACGGTGCGCGATAATTCGAGACACGTTACGTCTGGCTTGGCCGAAACAACGGCCGGCAGTTCACGCCACTCAACTAAATCAATTAATGGAGGCCAGATGAAATAGTAGCTTATTTGTGGCTCGTGCATCTTCGGAGAACGTGGTAATTTAGCCGCGACGAAATCGATTTAACTCGCTCGCGCGCCGGTCATCGCTCTTAATTAACTGCGCGTGTAAGCTCGAGGGTATGCGCGTGTGTATACCGTGCACGCGCATAACGCATATTTCTTTCTCGATCCGGATGCAAATTCTCGGAAGAGCAATACTCGTGAAATATGAAGACGGAAATTATAATTGCAATATTTACGTTCATTTAACCCCGTGCACGCCGAGACGGTCCCGACGTGCTTAAGTACGCTACAGCCATTTTACAGCAAATACGCGAAAACAGCATGAATAGTTATTAATTGACCGTCAATTATTTTTTAAGCGTTCATTAAAATGTAATTGTCGTATTAATTGCATAATAATATTAAAATGAAAACAAGATCTTTTATATTAATTTATTTTCTCAAATTATCTTTCAGTAGAAAAAAATTGATTGCTAAACGAATATATTGATATAAAATATCATGGTGCAAAAATATTCGCTATATCTCGCCTGATGCGTTTTTTTTTACGTCAGCGCGGAAATAACAGCGCAATTTTTCGCCAATTCGCTGAATCCTTTCAACCAATATGCCTGTGCAGTATTCGCCGGATGATTTTAGGCAAATATAAAATGTGCGGAAAAACGCTCATATTTGCAGGGTACAAGAAAAACACTGACCAAGGAGTTAATATGGGCTATAGACGCCGACACCCCGTCGGAAATGCTGATTTATACGGTTTTACGAGCAGACACCGACGCGGGGCACATCGAGAGAGTTACTCATCCGTTTCGACCTATCGACACGTTCACGCAAGCCGAATTGATGCAAGGTCTCATCGCGTATGTGCATCGTGGAAACGGTAACGGATTCATTATTATTGATCGCAAAAAGAGCGTTACATATTCTTAAATTATAACATATTTTGTTTATCTTTTTATATTGTCGTTGCAATATGTTTAATTTTAAATGTGCATATAAATGCACACGGCAATGAAGAATATATGAAGCATTACATTTTCAATAGCTTTTATTTTCGAAAGCTTTTATGAACAAAACGTATTTAATTTTTCAGCTAAACCGAATGCAATGTTGGGTTTACAAGTGAGCGATGGCATCGAGAGTAGTCAGCCCGCGTATCTGCGCGTATCAGCTTACCCGCTGCAAATCAAGCTGATGCACAATACCGGCCTCATTGTGGTGCATCGTTCGTTCTCTTACCTGACACCGGCGAATCTCTCGTTCGCCACAAACTCGGACGACAACACCATCGACATTCGTTACGACGTCGTCTCGCCGCCACAATTTGGTGTTTTGCAGAAATTGAAGGACGTATCCGGCAGTTGGGCGAACGTAGACCACTTTACCAGCCGGGACATGGAATTACACATCGTTCGTTACCTTCATAACGTCGGCAGCCCTAATCAGGACGAGTTTAAATTCCAAGCGAGCGTGCGCGAGGTGAAGACCCAGCAGACCTACGACTTCCGCATTACTTTCATCGATCTCGAGCTGAAGGAGACCAGAAGGGTGCCTATTAATCTCACCAATACGTCGAACGTCACTATCACGAGCGGCCACTTGAGGTACCAGACGAATCCGCTGGTTACAACACCAAGTAAGATCGTCTTTACTCTCATAACGGGACCAAGATACGGCAATTTATTTCTGTTCGATCATAAACTCGTGGCGGCTGATACCTTCACGCAGGAAGACATCGAGGCCGATAGACTGAGCTACCGTCTATTCAGACGATCCTATTCCAATATCCTCGACGAAATAACGTTTAAAGTTAACGCGCCTCAGTGCGTCGATATACACGCCAATTTGAAAGTTCGATACTATCTCGGCAAGAACAGCAAACCACTGGAGGGTGCGGAAAACTTGAAAGTTGACGAAGGCTCGAAAGTACCTTTGAGAATCACACATGTGAATCCGAAGGAATACGGTGTATCCTCTCTGATATACAATCTCACCATCAAACCGGATCACGGTTGGCTCTCCATCGCAAACAGTTCGATATTGCAGGATCAAAAAAATGTCTCGTCTTTTACGTTAGAAGACGTATTGACGCAAACGGTATATTATGTGCACGATGATTCCGAGACAAAAGAAGATTCTTTCGAGTTTGTGGCAACGTCCATGGATTCCACGGATTTTATGTACGTCGGGAAATTTCGAATTGAGATCATCATGAAAAATGATAATCCGCCAGAGCGAACGATCGATAGAGTTTTTTACGTCGTGTCGAGAGGCGAAAAACTGTTAACAAACAAGGACCTCGCGTACATGGATAAGGACATTGATACTAGAACGAGCGAGCTTATTTACACCAGGAGGGATGCGCGGAAGAGTGGATTATACAGGATAACTAATCCCTCGGTACAAATACGCGAATTCTCGCAACAAGATATCAACGACGGTATGATACTTTTCCGGCATCAGGGAGATGAACGCGAGAAAATTGAATTCGGCATCACCGACGGTCACTTTTACAGGACTGGTGTTCTTGAAATTCAAGCCAGCCCGCCGTACATCAGGTTACGAGAGAGCAACGGTTCGATCGTCCAGTTCAACAAGTCCGTGGTACTTCAATCGAAAGAATTGGAGATAGAAACGAACGTGTATGTTTCGGAGAAGGACATAAAATACAGTGTATGGGAAAAACCAAAGTACGGTAAATTGATGAAGCACAATAGAGAGTCGAGCAGTTTTACGGAAGACGATTTGAAGCACGGTATTGTGTTATACAAGCACTTGGGTGGATCATTAACAAAAGACACTTTTAGATTTAAAGTGTTCGTCAAGGGCGCAGATGCCGAAGGTGTGTTCACAATCAAGATCTATCCAGAGAGCTATTGGGAATCGTTGATTATTCAAAACAACAAGACGCTGTTCGTCGAGGAAGCCACTAGCATTCTGCTGAATCGGAAGAGCCTCGAGATAATGCATCCCAAAATATCGCCAACGGAAATTGTCTATTTCGTGCGAGAGTGGCCGCGGAACGGCTATCTAGAACTACAAATCCACGACGAGCAGAGCGAGGAGGTGAGGGAGGAGTACAGCGGTAACGCGGTGAAGCATTTCGAGCAGAGTCTGATAAACGACAATCGCGTCTTCTACGTTCAATCGGTGATGAATCAGACGAACGATCGTTTCGTCGTGGACGTTACCAACGGTATTACGTGGTTGCGCGGTCTAAGTGTGAACTTCGTGGTAGTGCCGGAGAAACTCTACGTCGAGGCGAAGAGCTTCATCGTGGTGGAGGGGAAAAGCGTGATACTAAGCGAGACGAACTTCTTAGTTGTGACGCCGTATTACGCCGGTAAGATATCAGATTATAGAATAGTAGAGAAACCGAGGCACGGCACGATTCTCGATGCCACGAAGAACACCCAGGTGAAGAAGTTTTCGCAAAAGCATCTGAACGCTGGGGTCATACTGTACAAGCACAACGGAGATGAATTTTTGAGGGACTCCTTCAGGATGGTGGTTACCGCTAGTGACAAAGTGAGCGAGCCCTTTGATGTATCGATCATCGTCCAGCCCGTTAACGACGAGATTCCCGTGCTAGTGAATAGAACTAAGCTAAACATTTGGCAAGGCGGTTCCGTTATTTTGACGTCGACAAACTTAGCAGCTGCAGACAATGACACTGCCCCGTACGATATAACATTCAACGTTACTGGAGTGAGAAATGGATACATCTCATTAATCACCTCACCCGACGTGGACATTTATAATTTTACACAGAGCCAAATCAATGAGTTGCAAGTGATATTCACGCATACGAGTAAGTATATTACAATATTCAGAGGTATTAATTTAAATAGACGGCCTGTTTTATAGAATTTTCTACATTTATGTGCATACAAATATAATGTTAAAATTAATGATTTATATAATTATATAATAAATTATACATATAAAATAAATGCATAATAATTTCAAGATTTCGTAATATACTTTCGGAAAATCGAACTGCAATTATAATATCTTTTTAATTAATAAAATTGTAAATTTTTAATACAACATTTAATATAAAGAGATGAAAATGTACAATATTTTTTTCAGATGGATCTGATGGCGAAATAAATTTCATTTTAAGCGATGGTGTACACACAACGAAGTCTTACACAATTCTGGTCACCACAAAGCCAATTCGTCTGAACATCGAACACAATATGCCCCTTAATGTCTTCCCCCTTACTAGGAAATTAATATCAGACAAGCTCTTATTAACGACGTGTTCTGACGAAGCGAGGGAGATTAGATACATTGTGCGAAATGGACCCCATTTAGGCAAAGTTATAATGGAGACAAGTGAAGGGGTGTGGCTTGAGGTCGAGCGATTTACTCAGAAAGATATAAACAATAGTAAAGTAATTTACGAGCACACCAAGCAGTTCATGGACCTTACGGCCAATGACTCTTTCACATTCGACGTCGAAACACACTTCGCTGGAACTTTAACAAATCAGGTATAAAAAAATGTGACGAAATATGTTTAATATCTATTGTAAATATTTATTTATCTTTTATTAAACACACTCACCGTACTTTATAATTTATAAAAGATGGTATTTTTAGTAAATTAAGAAATGCAATGTCTTTAATATTTAAAACTAAGAATTTCGAGAAGTAATGTTAACTGTATCTCTAACACGTCTGCTTTGTATATCTCAGGTTTTCCAAATAGATATATCAGTTTCGAGCGGAGGCTTAGATCGATATATTTCCACGAAAAACGTGAGAGTCATTGAGGGTGGCTCCGCGGAGGTCGTCATGAATATAAGCGGCATCGTGTCATTTCTACAAATTAACGCCGGCATCCCGAATCCGGTGGTATTGTCGAGATTGGTTCACCAACCTAGTCATGGACACGTGATGTTACTACCCGATTTAAACGTGACCACTTTTTCGCAACCGCAAATCGAGGGCGGAAAAATCGCTTACTATCACGATCACTCGGACACCCTGGAAGATCGCATTCAATTCTCGCTGCACTTGACACCCGGCCACGTATTACTTTGCAACACCAGCATTCCCGTCGTCGTCGAGCCGATCAACGATCAGCCTTTCAAACTCGTCACCAACAATCCGTACCTCAAGGTCGTGCAAAATCAAAATCAGACCATCACCCGGGAGAACCTTTTGACCACCGATCCTGATACTCCGCCGGAAGAAATTATATACGACGTGATTTCAGGGCCGACATTCGGTAGATTACTGCTTTTGCCATTTGATCAAAACACCTCGGAGGTGCGCCCGGTGGAGAAGTTTACCCAATACGACGTGGACTCTAATCGAATGGTATACGAACACAATGGCACGTTACAAACCGCTTCTTTCTACTTCAGAGTCTGGGATGGCGTCTACAATCCGATCTATAGGGTTTTCAATATCCACATTTTAGCTATACGACTGAATGTGACGGTATCCGGTCCGGTAAATTTGCAGCAAGGTTCAAACGTGGCGCTTATCACGGAGAACGATATTAAGCTCGATACGAACGCGCGTCAAGATTTGGTGACTTACGAGATTACGACGCATCCGAAACACGGAATATTGTACGTACGGGACGGCGCTGCAGCGACGTTCAAGCAGACCGATCTGCTGTCGAAAAGCGTGATGTTCATGCAGACCGATATGACAGTGTCGAACGACAGCTTGGAAATGTCGGCGCGATTGAGCGGTTTCGAGCAGAAGCACATACGCGTAGAGATCAAGGTCGTGCCTCTCATGATCATGAACTCGATGACGGCGTTGGCGGGCGAAAAGAATCGAATAACCATACAATATCTGGACGCGACTCCTCTAGCGAAGTTAATTCCAGTTAGGACCAGCAATCCCCTTTACACCGTCGTGAGGAAGCCAAAATACGCGAAGATCAAGAGGATCATCAGGAGCTCCTCGTCGTCCGGCGAGAAGAGAGGCGCGCGCGAGCGAGAAGTGACGCGTTTCTCACACCAGGAGATTATCTCGGGAGTGATATATCTGGTATGCAGAAAAATACCGTCGATAGACGGTGTCGCGGACAGCTTCAGCTTCACTCTCGCGGCATCCATCTTCCAGCCGGCCGTGGGCGACTTTGAATTTCACATTAAGCTCGACATAGACGACGACAATATCACACTGGGCGGTCCAATGGATCCGGTCGGTCACGAGGGCGAGATGGCGATCGCGCCGAACATGAGCAACGATTATCTGCTGATCCTCGGCATGTTGCTCGGCGTGTTCCTTCTCGGAGTGGTCGTGATCATCACGATCAGGTGTCGGCACAACAAATACAAGCACGCCGAGGAGGAAAAACCGGAGACCACGCCTGCCGTCGGGGTGATGCCACTTCCCAGACCTCCGGATCATTTGATGCCCGCCACTCCACACCTCAAGCCTTTTAGTAACGATCACAACAGCGTGACGGCCAGCACGCCTTTGCCGATGTTGCCCTCGACATTACCGCAGTGTAAGGTGATACCCTTGAGCCCTCTGGAAAGCGGTTCGGAGGTCGACGTGTCCGCAAGATATCCCTACGGCGTGGCGGACGGCGATGAATGGAGTAGCTTCGACACTTCCGATCTACCCTGCCAGTCGGCCACAACTCAAAGGACCAAGAAGAACCCGTTGCTGAGGAGGGATCAGTACTGGGTCTAGCAGGAGAGAAACACGTTGCGGTTTACGCGAAGTAAGCCGTAGCGACTCTCGACGTATTTCATACGAAAATTGTTCGAAATTGTACGAGACTATCGTGGATATCATGGACTTAATGTGCCTAAGAAAAGTGAAATCTGCGACGAAGTTTTACAGAGATCGTTCGTTGAAGCCCGAAATTATCGCGCCAAACGTGTATCGAATAATAGTGAACTGACACTCGATGATTGTCAGCGTCCGATCTCGATATAGCAGCCGATAATTGGAAAAGCAAAGGAACTCTTAGATTATTGGAGAGACCTATGAATCGAAACCTCGATGATTAATAATTCGCGATCCGGGATAGTTCGCAGTGTCTCGTGTACTATTAGCCTAAAACAGGATATAAGCAGGAAATCTAGATCTTCTTGAATGTCACGACTATCGCCGCTATCACGAGCTCAATGTGCCTAAGAAATGTCTGACTCTGCTGACATTCTTTCCATTAATCACAACATGTCGATTTTTCGTATATGTCCACACTACGCCCCCTTTCTTCCGGCGGATCGAGATAAATTCGATCGACTGAAAAGGCAGACCGATTGTTCACTGAAGCAAGATTTTTATGACGAACTCAATTCTGGTCTAAGCGAAAAAGTCCGTCGGTTTACTGACTCGTTCTAGAGTACAGATTTTTCAGAAAAAATTTTTGTGTTCCTTTACCTCCTTCCATTTTTACACCTTTTGTAAAAATCTAGGATAGTAAGATCGTTATATAAAAGTGGCATTTATCGATCCCTACTGTCGTAAGTTCCACATAAAAATCGAAGCATCAAGACTTAAAAAAAAAAACGGAACTTTCGTTTTAAAGCTATAAACAAAGGAAACATCGAGTAATCGGGTTAATACAGGAACTTTGTGACACTGTATCGTACAATGATCAAATATATACAATGTAATCGAGAATATGTATGTTCCTGTTACTTGTTACTTGCCACCAAAGAACGCAAACAAAATGCATTTATATTAATAGCTATACTCGAGTTTCGACATATCTTTTTATACCGTCGTACTGTGTACAAGTCAAACTCTCATTTTGCCTTTTATATAGATCTCGCATGCGATCATTTCATCCTATCGATATCCCGACTGTTTTGATGTTGCTCATATCGTGCAAATAAACGTTAATTAATAAGACAATTAACATTTTGTCCGGCGAAATGCAGGAAGATCTCGAGTTGCTCTTTTTACGACAATATAATAACACGTATTTTATCTTTATGTAGCGATATGCATTGAATTACGGTTGTCTTGTTAAAAATGTGCCATAACAGCAGATTAATAATTTTTTCTGAATTGTTTATGTTATCATTAATAGTAAAAACGATTGATAGCGTTGTTTCCATTATAATCATTTTTCTTTTATATTTTTTTCACGACGAATTGTTACGATGATTATCTTGAATGGAATTACGTAGAATCATTTACGAAATGCACAATTCTCATCTATTTTGTTTTTTGTGCAAGCTTTAGCGAGCGATAAACATTAGGCCAAATAATACGATTATTTGACGTATTTTAAATGCGAATTAACAGTAACAAGTCAAAGTCTATAAACTGTTTTTTACACGGGTGAGAGTAGATCTTTTCTACTACGAATCGTTGACGCGCGACGAAGTTCGTAATTCATAAGCGATGAACGGGGTTGTGCGTGCGCGATTTCAGTATTATCTGAGAAAATTTATTAATAGAGGCGTGTTGATGAATTCGTTGATTTTTAAGAAAAATTTTACGTTACGTTATCTCTGAATTCACGGTAATCTTAATAAATCCACTTTCGGCCAATATTGAATAAATTCGCATGTTATACATATAATTCACAATAATAATACAATTAATTCCACAGGTATAATTATTAAGCAAAAATAAACGTTTTAATAACAATAGTAAACAAAAATATAACATTGATTCCGGTCGAATAATTCCAATAAATTAATTAGACCAAATAAACAGTCAAATTTTTATTTAATGGAATTATTTTTATGATATAGAGGAGATATTAATTAAAAGATTTTTATATATTAGTATAAAATAATATAATTATTATTATAATATTAGAAAAGGCATTTAACTTTATTAAAAAAATCACTGTTACTTTTTATGTGCCTCCCTATTTTATCGTTGTTGATTATTCAATGTCTTTTCTTGGAACAGAAAAGATGGATTTTTTAATAGGTAACTCAAGTTACCTGAGATATAAAATTACAATGCATTGATGAAAATGAAAATATATTTTTGCGGAAAATCGAGCAAATGCAGTTTGGCCAAAAGTGGATTAATGATAATTTCTTTATAATTAGAAGCGTTTAATAAAACAATCTAATGTGAATGTTGATTATAGCGATTATAATGATATATATAATAATATATAATGCGTACAACACTCTTATGTAGAACGTATTGTTCCATGAATAGCATACGCATTAATAGATTCTAATTAAAGACATTTTATCGAGAGAATCAAAGAGAGAAAGGGGGAAGAGAGAGAGAGAGAGAAAGAGAGAGAGAGAGAGAGAGAGAGAAAGAGAGAGAGAGAACCCGTTCGTTGATTCATGAATATGTTAGAAGCGAACTGTTAGGCTTTTTTACATTTACCAAAAGTGAACTGATCCGAGTGCCAAACTTCTAATCTATAACATATAATTACCATAGGACTTGTATTTTCCCTGCCGACTGAATGCATTACTCTTCTAATTCTAATAAATTAAATGTGCGATGTTAAGTAAACACAGTCTGATTTATTATTTATTGTATTGCGGTTGCTTATCTTTTATTAACGTTATTATTCCATGTGTTAAATTATTACCCGCATAACTAACGTCCTAAACAAACATTCTCTCATATTAGTTTCATATATCTTTTTTAATTCTAATTTTTGTTATTACAAATATAATCGGAAATTCAAAAATTCATTTAAAGTTTGTGCATATATTACGTATGCAATTAAGGCGTTTGTTTAGCGCTCTAAATATGCTCGATATTATTTAATTACCTCTTGCATTTGGAAACTCGTCATTCAGCATACTTTCCATCATCACGTCGGATCGTCACTCGATACGTCATCGCCGTTGTTATTTGTCTTTGCCATGTTGTGGAAAGTCACATACCTAATTATGTGAAGAATCACATAATATTCCGCGTGACGAAGATATCTGTAAGTTAAAATGTATCTAATCGAGACAAAATCAGTCTTCCAATAGATGAACTCGTACGCAGGACCGTGCGCACATCACACCAAACATAAATCACGTAAATCGATCAATTATTTGCAAAATCGTCATTTAAATTTATATATTAAAGCCCGGCTCGATGCGACGAGAATCCTTCGATCTGTCACCGATACGAGATATTATTATTCGTCGGTGTTGATGGATCTGCGAAACGTTTTTATTGCACAAGAATTGCTACCTATTTTACCTTTGATTAAATCGACTATTTCGGGATACTGCAGATACAGGAATAAACTCGCGACAACAATATAGATTTGCGACTCGCAAGTAAACAAAAGATGATAATTTCTTATACAGTGAACGTGAGAGTGGAAAAAAAATCTTTTGCTAGGCAAACTGTGCTGTTTATTTAAATAATAAATGTTTTGTGTGAATATATTTCAAATATTTAAATATGATGAGATATCAAATGACAATTATTATATGCACAATGTACATATACGTACATTATATTGTATGCAGCATATATTATTCAGAAAAAATTCCTTTCTTTATGTTGTAAAGAAAATTAAATTACGTAAACGTAAATATATATTATAATACTTACATATACTTATCCACAATTTGTGAGGATATAGCACGATTAGCGTGGATTCGAACCACGTCTATTTTTGACTTTATGATTTTATTAAGTGTTTATTAGAAAATAGCTACGTAATTCTCATTTCATAAATGGACGTATTGGTGGTAATACACGGGAGGTTCTGAGTATTCTGACGATCCCACCCTCACCGAAAACTTCTATATTTTCAATTGTAGCTCAAAAGGCTTTGTATTATTCGTTCATGTAATCTGTGGTGTGAGACGTAAGTATTTTGTACATCTACCGAATTTTTACACTAATGAAATGTATTTCTTCAACATTAAATTTTAAAGATATTATTTTTATATGAATATATAAATTATAAATGAGTTACAAAAATGAACATTAATTTATTGATAATAAACTCATTTAAATCTTAAAAATGAGTTTTAATAATCGAGTTACGTGTATGTTTGTAATTTAAAATACCAATTTTTTAAATGATATATCAATATAGACCTATACCGAGCATTCCGAGTGACGATGGAAATAAGCCATTAGTAGAATTATGCCCCTCAACACAGGATCCTGGACCTTCGAGTTCAAAGAAGAATGTTTTTGATACATCATCTTAACGTAAAAGGTAATTTATCTATTGATATTTGTTTAATTATATTTATGATTAATTAAATTATATGTTTTAGTATCATGTAATTCTTTATCATTAAATTTTAAAGAAATCATTTTTATACAAATATATAAATCATAAATGAGTTACAAAAATAAACATTAATTTATTGATAATATGCTTATTTAAATCTTAAAAATTAGTTTTAATAATCAAGTTACGTATATGTTTGTAATTTAAAATACTAATTGTTTCATTTTTTAATGTTTGTATTTAAAGATTTGCGATTCACATTTATATCAATAATGTAACTACAATATTTTGTACTGCTCTAGTATTCCATTGAATATCCTTATTAAAATGCATAAAAAATACTATCAAGTTAAGAAACACTGTTAGATAAATTTTTACTCCGAATGTAAAAAAAGACTAGTAGATTATATTAATTTTCCTTAAAATTTGTAAATAATAATGACACGAAATCATGTAATTTTTATAAATTTATTTGTTAAGAAAAACGTACTATTTTAATGACGAACTAATGTAAAAATTTTAGAATTATTTATCAACAAATTTTATTTTATTTTTTAATGTTTGTATTCAGAAATTTGCGATTTTCCTTTACATCAATAATGTAACTATATTTTAGTACTATAAAGTATCTCATCGAATATCTTAATAAAGTTTATTGTTGGCTCTTGCGCGCAACGCTGATTAGTTTCAATTATTATTTGTATGCTTTCGTCACTATGTCTAACTGCAATAATATCAAGAAACTTTAGATATTGTACATTTTACGTTTTTATAAATGTAAATAATCTTCGAAGAAATTACAATTCTTACGATTTTGAGTAGTCCTTTGCTTATTATTAAAAATTATTAAAAATAACCAGCTCACAATTAAATTGCCTTTGGTAATTAATAAGAAGTTATTTATAATAAATTCTAGTATAATATTTTATTATAACTAGCCAACTCAAGATTAAGTAATAATTAGTGCCTCTGATACTAACTATTACTAACTACAATGTTGAAAAATATATATACTTTAACAATTTTTTGAACAACATGAAAATAAGTAATGATCGGTATTCATGTATACGGTATCTTTTAGCATATTTTTTAATGATATTATGAATATTTTTATACATTATACAGGACATCTTAAGCAAGAAAATAAATTAAAAAATAAAATCTGAAAAATGAAATAATATTATAAAATGTTTTAAATAAAATAGCATGGCCAGAAGGGGATATAATAATAAAATTATGATACGCTTTATGTACTGATTCTAAATTCGGACATTTTAAATCCATCATTTTTAATTTTATAATTCTGTTTCTAAATTTGTAATCAACGACCTCGAAAACTTCATAATAATCATTTTTAAGCCGTTTTCTGAAGTTTTCACATTTTAATCGAAGATACTATAAGATCATTCGTGACTTTTGCGGTTTTTAAGCATTATATTGAAATTTTCAAAAGACCGCATGTTCCATTCAAAACACAAATACACAAATATACAAATATTTTGGGAGCTCAAACATTTTTTCTATTGCATTAATTTTTGGAAGGAGAGGTGGCAGGCTTGACGCAAAACGTCCCGTATATATTTTTTTTCCGAAAGCTCGTCACTTTGTTTGCTATGCTGTCCCTATGCGCAGACCGTAAATATATTCTCTCTCTAGACTGATTGCGAGTACATATATTATCGTATCTAATTCAATAAATGTGAAACTTAAACCATTTCTAAATAACTATATACGTACGTAATATGTACTTTTGATATGTAAAACTTTTTATATAAAATTGCATCAAATTTAATTATTATTAATTAAAATTAGTCCAACTGTTATTATACATATAACTGATTAAATAATTAAATTAATTAATAACTTATTATTCTGTCAAAACGATTGTAAAAAAAATTCAAGTAACTTTTCAGCTTTTTTTTGCATCTGCATATAACGATGAAAATTTAGTAAGCGTTATAGAAATAATGTATATAAATAATAATTAATAATAAACAATGTACAGTTGCACAATGATATATATTTATTAAGTTTTAAGTATATCCATCATAAAAGGAATAATATTATTTTACTTTTCCGCCATTTTTTCTTTGATCCAAGGAAGGTACGGTGAAATATTGGTGTATATATCTGGTTTACCTACGGCGCACGGTTTGCCACCAGATACTAAAGCAACAATTTCTCTTTTTTTAATCTGATTGTTGTCTCGAATCAGACCACTACCGCTGTCACCCTGAAACAAAAAATAGATTATTTATTTATTTATCTAAATTTGGCATTACTTAAGACGGCGAAATATTATATCATACAAATAATTTAACGTTACCACTGCTAAAAGCGCTTAAGATACTAAAAAAAGAAATGCGGAATATAAGAATTTTGTTCTAAGGACTAATATTATTACGCACACAAACATGAATTATTTATGATGTAAAATACTATCTTGGACCATACAGATGTAATTTTCTAACGTAAGTGATACCGAATACAGCGTCATGATTGAATAAGATACTTACAAAATAATTATAACAAAATAATTACAAAATGTACAAACTGAAAGTTAAATCTAAAAAGATGTAACATTTCAGAAAAAGATGCACAATAATAAAATCAAATGTGCATTCAGACATTTTGTCATATATAATATAATATTACGTACTTTGCACAATCCAGTTCCTGCCCCGATTAAAGTACAGATTTCGTTCTTGCTAATCTTCTCCGAATTGTCAGAGTAATGAGACTGGCATTCTTTTGGTAACATGACATTTGCTTCCATTTTTCCCAAATGGTTATGCACTTCTTCGTCTTTGCCTTTTCTACCCCAGGCAGCAATCGTAACCTTCTCATTCTCTTTCGCAGGATGTTTTGGAAGATTAATTGGCTGACATGTTGAATCATATTTTAAGGGCTTTTTCAGCTAAAAATATTTTATACTATTAGCCAAACTGTAGGAGTAGCTAAAGTACAAGTATCATCATTTAAAATCTATATATCATTATTATTATCATTAATATAGCAGAAAGTATATTAAACATGCGTACCACATTAAAAGCTAATATAATATTTAAGTATATTATAATGTGTATGTATAAATGTGTTTTCATAGTTGTACCTTTATCAATCCAATATCATCATTAGTTCTTCCTGTAACGTTAGTATTATATTTCTCGTGGTACCACATTTTTTCTACTTCATGAGACTGTCCACCTTCATCGAGGTTAGTTGTGCCAGTAAGGATGGTTATATATTCTACAACACCGTCCCTAATCATTGGCCATGTGCAATGCGCGGCAGTTAAGACGTATTGTGGTGCTATTATGCTGCAGCCGCATTGGTAAAGCATGTCGTAGAGTTTCATGGCGGCACAATGTGGATAATTCTGTATGGTAGTGGATGTTCCATTTACTAGTCTTTCTGTTCCATCGTCATATATACCTGTCAATGTATATACAGTAGAATGGGTAAGTTAACACAAGGATTTTTTATTTTGTCAAAAACTCGAATAATGGGTTTTGGCATGGGTAAGTTAATCTTTTTTGAAACTAAAGTAAATTAAAGTTAATAGGCCTGAAAATGTAACTTAATTAAGATATAAGTTAGGTCATAATAAAATTAATCGAATTCAAAGATAAATTAATAAAAAAATTAATAAAAAGTTAAAAGTTAAATTTTTTTTATATAAAAATCTAATCGAGACTGCAAAAGTTTAAATTAGAAACACCAATGCGATCTAAAGCGGATCTTATTGTTAGTGGACAGGTCTTTTAAAAAGAGTAAAATCAACACTACCGTTAGGAAGATTATACAGCGATATATAATATTTCTGCAAGCAATGATATATCTTCCTGTTTTTAAAGAAAGAATTTATTTTGTTGTTATTTAATTTATTGTTATTAAAATAACAATTTAATACGTTCATCATTTGAAACATGTAGAATTTAATACATCATTAAATTCTATATGTATTATAAAATTACAAGTTATGTTAATAGTAGATGTGCCAGAAGAAGTAACGAATCGATTTATTTCAATTCATTTTTTTAGATTTCTACGATTTTATAAGAATATAAATATTTTTCAATTATATGTATATCTTTTTTTCTTCTTGCACGTTTGTAGCGTTATGTCAAAAGTTAAACACTAATAATCACTAGTCTACCGTACCGTTTCTTTGACAGATCTTTTTTGAAAAATGGATTGAGTTTATTGGAAACTAGCAAAACTTGAACAATGAAGAAAAATCGTGTGGACACTTTTGTATTAATTAGTACAGCGACTCATTCACTGGTATGATGCGTATTAAGAAATAATGGTAAAAAAAAATGAATGTTAAAGAAAATAAGAGAGAGAGAGAGAGAGAGAAAGGAAAAGAAGAAAAAAGGTATACAAAATTTATAAAGATAAGATAATTTAGTAAAAAGATAATAAGAATATTTAATAGCATATGCTTATTTTTTAGTAATAAAAATAATTTTTTAAAGAAAAATCAATATTACATTTTAACACTGTATATATATTTTATTTGCAAACAGTTTTTTAGCTGCAAAAAAATTTTGCGTTACGCTATGTTTTTGTATAATTATCATAACAAAAGCTCAACTATGAGTTCGTATATTTGAAATAAATATACATATATTTGTGCTAAACGGAGTGCGGATAAACAGTGTTTTACTGTACATATATATTTAATTGCTTAATTCATATTGATTAGCATATGTACACATGTACGAGGGATGATCAAATAATACAATATAATACGATGGAATAAATGTATTAAAGCGAGGGGGAGTATTTTGAAGAGGACTAATTGACATTCGTATTTTAATAAAATGAGTTTCTTTTTATCTCAACATTCACCGTATTTTTTTATCACACCTCGTATGTATTATATTGAAACTAATATATAAATATTATACAGTGTACAATATTTAATTTCATTGTTTTTTATGTAACAGTTGAGTAATACGCGTTATATATAGATTTATTTAAAACTCACCCGTGAAAATATTTTTTTCCCCGTGATAGTAGGCAGCCTCCGAAAATGGATTAACCACCATTACCATTACAGACAAAGACAGAATCAAAGCCGCAGAACGCATTTTCTCTGTCGACAATAAGTTCTGATGTGAAACATAAATAAATAAAATTTTGATATAAAGTTGGAGGCTAATATTATTTCATTATGTGTAAGACAAATGTGTAAAAGAAGTAAACAATTCTTATTAATATTTATATATAAAAATAAGAATCTTTATCTAACTTTTATAAGAATATAGAAATCGAATGTATTGAATATAAAAAGTTCATTTATGGCAATTTTTATTTAATTAAATATCCACATAATTTTAAATTTATTCAAATTAATAATAAATGATAACATCTAAGGTAAAATATATGCTAAACTATAAATTACTTACTTTCTCACTAGCAAATACGTACTTGGCAATAACTCGAAAAGGACTGAAGGATTGGAATTTGTCAAGCTATTTATAGTAATGTTGCGTGGGGAGAATCATAATTTTAGAGTTAATTTGCGGAAATAGATAAGCTTTTAAATTACATTTTTAAAATGATTGCTTGACTCTTTATTGCGTAAATTTTTCTGTTGAATACGTTTTACTTTACTTTAGTATATGGAGAATTTTAAGATTGTTAATTGTAAATTTGAAGTCAAAATTGAATAAATCTGAATGACAAATTTAGCAAATTAAAAAATTAATGTGGTTTATTTACGTATAAGATTTTATATGGAAAGAATTTTTTAAACATTCTTATTCAAATCTGTAGTAGAAATTTAAAAATTAATAGCAGTTCCATTATTAAAGAAATCTTTACTACTTTTTAACAAAAACTTATTTCTTAACTAATTTGAAATTAATGTTGAGGATGTATGTGACGAGCTTTTAGTTCCAAGTTTTTTAATTTTTTAAATTTAAATTATGAC